TGAAGTTTTTATTAAACATGTTATCAATACTTATTTTGGCCCATATACGTCAAAAAAAGTTTAAAAAACTTTAAAAATAACGATTATGATAATTGTCACTTTTATATGGTGCATCTTAATTAAAATTTTAATTTAACATGTTAAAAATACATATTTTACCGTAAAAAAATCTAATATGTTTAAAAATACCGATTATGATAATTGTCATTTTTCCAAGGAACATCTTCAATAAAGAATATAAAAATTGTCAGATTAAATTATTATCCTTAAAAAGATCAGATACATAAATAAGTTAAATAAAAATATTTTAAATATTATTTAGAAAACCCACCTCTTTTAATATACTTAAAAAATAGATAATTTTACAAAAATGATAAAAAAAACTATAAAAGATTTCACCTAAAAGATTGATTATTTATGATAAAATTCACAAAAGAATTCCTTAAAAAAGATTTAAAATTTTTATCAAAATATGTTTAAAAATCTATTTGAACTTCAAAAAATATTTTTTGCTTATAATTTTGGGCGTGTGAAAATCCTAATAAATTGTAACAAAAATAATATTACAATAGTAGCATATCATTTTTTTAATTAAAAAAATATCAAATAAAAGAAATTCATTTTTCATTTCATATAATATAAATAAAAAATATATATCATATAATATGTTTATTTGTTGATAAATAAAATATTAACATTAAATATAAATAAAAAGAATTACTTTAATAAAAATATAATAATAGGCCGTGTTATATTTCGCAAAATAGTTTCGCTATATTGTCTTCGCGATTTATGTTTCGCGATATTGACTTCGCTATAAAATTTTCGCGATAAAAATTTCGCTCTAATGTATTCGCTTTAAAGGTTTCGCGATAAGAGTTTGGCTATAAAAAATTCGCGATATTTGTTTCGCTATATTGTTTTCGCTGAAAAATATTCGCTAATGTGGATTCGCGATAAAAGTTTCGCTGCATGGAACCGAAAAAATTCGACTCAGGCTTAGCCAAAAAACTGCTTAGGCTTAGCTTTGACCAAAATTATTAGGCTATTACCTATATATATTCAGATAAGATTCATTTTAAAAAATATTTGTCCAATAAAAATCGTCATAGTTTATTCGATCTAATGATAATATCATACCAAATTCAAACATTCGTGCACTTAAGTTACCATTTCCTTCACTTCACATATCAAACATCTTCTTATATATCATAAAGAAATATACTAGAATTCTTACACAATCTTCTATTAATATTACACTTCATAATTAATATAAATATATTAAATAAGTTTTTTTAGGATACCTCATATGCAACAGAATTATAGGAAAAGAAAAAAAAAGGAATGATATCCAACAACCAAACCTTTTTAGAAATGAGAATAGTTGGAGGCAAATAAATAATAAAATTATTTTGTTTGGATATAATTATAGATGTAAATTTAATATTTTTTAATTTGATTTCTCTGTGAGATTTAATTGAAATTGACTTATCCTAAAATAAATGTATATTAAAAAAGAATATAGAAAATAATGTTATATCTTTTTTGAAAAGATTTCTAGGTGTATGAGAATTTATTCTTCATTGTCTTATCTATAAGTTAACTTAAAAAATATATAAATAACATAGTAAATTATTATGTCACACAAAATTAAGGTATAAATTTACTTATAAAATCTAAAGTCAGATAAAATGAAAATATATACTTGAGACTCATGAAAATAATTGTATTGGTTAAGGGTCAATGATAGGTTTGATAGTGCTTAATAGAACAAATTAATTATTACAGATCCTTTATTGGTGGGATATAATTGAAATAGACTTATACTAAAATAAATGAATATTAAATTAAAAAGAATATAGGAAATAAGGTTACCTCTTTTATTGAAAGGATAGGACATAGATTAATTTATTCTAAATGTTAATAAATTTCATTTTGCCACATATTTCTCTTTATTTGTTGATAGAAAATTTATAAATTTCCCCTTTATTTTTCTAATTTAGGTTGATTTATCCATCATCAAATATAGGATAAAATTTCTATTCAGTCATTTTTGACGAGAGCTTTGATTCAGATATTTATCTTTATTTTCTGATTTTTCTATCAACAAATAAAGTGGAAATTTCTAAACATATTTAAAAAGTTCTAATAGATAAAGGGAGGAGAGGGATGCTTGATTTTTTGGATATGCTAAACAATTGCCACTAATAATCTACATCATTTTTAACTAACTGATAGCCCGTCAAGAATAACGAGCTTTCAGAATATTACCTTATTCGATGATGGAATAATATATTTCATGATTATTTGATGATGGGAATCAGAAATTGCCTAGCACGAATATTTTTAAAAAAATTATTATATGCCTGGCATATGTTTATAACAGAATCTAGCCTGCAGCTCACTGATTTGTTTTAATTACAAAAATATTAAATTGTATGTATTATTTTTAGCAGGCCTCAGATTTATTTTATTTACAAAAGTACTAAATTGTAATTACAATTTATATCATTTATTTTAGATAGATATTCCTGTACAACAATCATTGGTACAAGATCATTATTGAGGTTTGCTCAACACTAAGTGCGAATATTATGGTTCTCTAAAAAATTTTTTGGAAAACCCCTCAGGTGGCAGATTAAAAAATTACTGTCATAAAGGTAAGGTTAAGATACCATCAATCAGATATATTCCTTTTTTTTACAAGACTTTATCTAATCCTAACAATGAATTTCATTCAAACTTTATGAAACATATCCGTTCTTGTAATAATTCTCTCGCTTTTGCATCGATTGGTGTCAGATTTCTAAATAGTTTGAACCCGGGCCCATATTGTTTTATAGTTCATTGGCAGATTTATAACAAGACATCTCATTTATATCCTTCCAAGTTTGCACAACTATATGTCCTTGAAACTACACAGGCTGTTAGTGGCAGGTTACAAATGAAAGAAAATTCAGGATACAATGAGGATCTCTTAAAAATATTAAATATTTTAACAAGACAGAGTAACCCATTTTCTATTAGCTTTAAAACTTTGGGAGAAATTGAGAAAGAAAAAAATAGCCATTCAAGAAAATCGTCCAATTCAAAAAATCAATATGATCTTTCGTGCAGATTGCAGAAGTGACAAGCGAAGATACAACATCCCTAATATAAGTGAAGGTGCTATGAATTTTACAAATGATAATGGTGAACCCCCGTTTAAACGGGATATCAATCTATCCTCTAGTTGAGGTAGTGATCTCATAAACATATTAAGTCCTAATCTTGATCCAATGGTATATCCTCTATTATTTTCTCTTGGTGACCCTGGTTGGAAACTAGATTTAAAGGATGAAGGTACAGGGCGTACATTCGTGAAAATGAATTCAGCCCAATCCTCTTTGATGGGAAATTATCACAATATATTGTTGATTCCTATTTACAGGTCGAGGCAAATAATTTAAATTTTATTAGATAAAATCAGCCAAAATTACGAGTAGATGAATATTCTGAACTAATTGACTACTTGGAAACAAGGTAACAATATAATTCCTGGTAAGCAGTAATACTACCATAATCTTTTGAAGGTTCTCAAAGAAATATGCGAGAACGCTATCGTGATACAATGGTCATTGTGCTCAAATTTGGTAAACCTGGTTTGTTTATTTACATGCAATGGCGTGAAATTAAGGAATCTATTTCCCGGGCAAAGTCCTTCAGATAGACCTGATTTAATAGCCCGTGTTTTTAAAAGTTCGATATAAATAAAAAAAATTTATTTGGTAAATCTATTGCTTTTATATATAGAATCGAGTTCCAAAAAAGAGGTTTGCCTCATGCCCATATACTTATTATTTTAAACGATGATAGTAAAATTGAAACACTCAAGCTATAGATTGTTTGTGCCGAAATGCTAGATAAAATTCTCAACCCTAAGCTTTTTCAGATTGTTACCCATTTTATGATACATGGTCCTTGCGGGATATTTAACTCCAAATCGCCTTGCATGGAAAATGGCATATGTACCAGAAAATTTCCTAAGGATTTTTAATTGGAAACAAAACCAAATATTGATAGGTATAGAAGATACTATAAAAGGCGAGATAATGGTATTTCAATTCTATGCGGTAAATCTATGGAATGAAATCGATATCTAATGTTAAAATTTAATGCTTATATTAATGTAGAAATTTGTACATCTATTAAATCGGTAAATATATCTTTAAGTATATTTATAAGGGCTATGACTGTACTAATGTTAATGTTGCTTCAAATATATGACGAAATTAAATCACATTTAAATGCGCGATATGTGAGTGCAAGTAAATCGATGTGGAGATTATTAGAAAACTAGCTGATAGCCCGTCAACTTATGAGATGTGATTCAGAAATTTATATTTATTTAGATGAAGGGTTATTCTAAAATTTTCCATTATTTTTTTATAAAATATGTTTAATATGAAGTATATATTTAGTAATTTTAATTTATGATCACAATAAAAAATCTTTTAAACTAAATTTTTATTCATTTGTATTTTTAGTTTATGATCTAAAAAATACATTCTTGCTAGATGAGTTTTGCATAACTTATATTCGATTTAATTTCAAATACAAATGAATAAAAATTTATATTAAAAGATTTTTTATTGTGACATAAATTAAAATTACTAAATATATACCATCAGGTAAAATTCATTATTCAACCATCATTGAATAAAGGAGAAAATTCTGATTCCCCGATTCTTGACGGGCTATCAGCTAGTAGGAATATATTTCTTGTAATGAGTTTTACATTCCAAAAAATACAGTAAAAAGTGGTTTCAATAAATGATTGCACATAATATTTTTGCTTTGTCATATTTCTTTATTTTATCTTACTAACTATTATTATACTTATTATTTAGAATTTCAGTCTCAAGAATTAAAAAATTATGCATAAAATGTGATATATTTTCCTAATTTATTATACACTTTAATTTTTATATAAATATCTTTCAGTCAATATTATGTGCTGGTACAAGGCATATTCATAAATTATTTTTTTTTTGTAAAATATATTAATCAAATTCAATATTAATTAAATTTTTTATCATCAGATGAATCGATTATTAGATCCTGGTTAATCTGATGACCTTGATTATCATTTAATTGTTTGTCTTCTGTAGCAGGATTATCTTCATATCTAATATATAAAATCGAAGTAAAAAATATATAACAAATATGGTAGAAAAATTTTTTTTTAATAATGTTATTTAAAAAAAGATCAGATATAAAGTATATAATATTTTTTAATTCAAATGCTCTTATAAAATTGAAACTAAGTAAATAAAATTTATATAACTTTAATCGTTCTTTTCAATTATATGAAACAATATTTAATCTAGTAAAATAAACTTCATAAGATGAGACCATTCTCCTCTTGCCAAACTTATTATAAAGGGTGTGCCGACACACGCTGGAACAAGGTATAATAAGGCTGGCTATATTATAAGATTGATAAGAAAATGTAATAACATATAATTTTACTTGTGCGTGCTTATAAAAGTGTAGAATTAGCGTGGTAAATACTAATCCTAGTATGTATGCTAACATAGTCGAATAAAAATATAATTTCTTTTTAGGATTATGAAGAGAGCTAATAAAAGACATGTTATATTAAAATTTATATATAAAACTAACTTCATTTCAAAACGCAATATAAGGGCAATAAAAATACCAGGTATAACTATATCACCTAACCCAAGCATAGCAAAATTTGAAGCTGATAAACCTTTTTCAACGAAATCCAAGGGAAACATAACTTTTTTTTAAATTTAAATAATTGTTTATATTTTATAATTACGCTTAATTGGTGCTTCAAAAGATTTTGCCACGGTTACCATAACATTTGTGCCAAATACCTTGATATTTTTAAAAAAATATACTTAATCTGTAATTTTATTACCCAAAATATATCATATATGAAAAGTCCTCCTAAGAGTATAAGGCCTGTACTAATTCTATTCAATTGTAATAATTCTATAGCATTTGTGGCAAATGCCAAACCAAATATGTTATTAGCTATCCAATGTTTTTTCATTAAATACCATATGCCAATGATCAAGCTAGTTGATAATGTTAATAAATCAACCCTATCGAATTCAACCTTTATCAAATCATCTGTTATATATATAATACAAATATTTTAAAACTATTTCATTTTCCACAATAATAAGAGTTTTCTCATTAAATATTAACATCAAAATATGCCAGAAAATATACCTGTCGTCTCTAACTTCTTAATTATTTGAAAATTTGAATCATAAGATATATAAAGAAAGAAATTTTTAGGAAGGGAGTGTCTATTCTACTTTCACTCCATCTTAACCTTACCATCTAATTTAATATTTTAAATAATATAGAGACGCGCTTCGTAAAATAATTAAATGTCAGTCAGAAAAAAAGAGGGAGGCATGAGAGGCAACTTTTTCAAATTATTTTATTAAAAATAGATTAACAAATTATATAAATTATAAAATCATTTCATATAATTTGCAAGAAAATATAATTATAAAATTGCATTGAAATGTTATTCAGTGGAATGGCAAAAATAAAATATATAGTAGTATCCTACAAAAAAATTATAATTTTTTCAACATTGCTGGTAACATTGATAATTCAGGGGCCAGTTCCACATAATATTGAAAAATTAATTTTTATTTTAAAATTTTACTAATTTCAAATATTCATTTTATTTTAATATATATTAAGCGCATTATTGTATGGATAATTTAAAAAAAAATTGTTAAATTTAAATAAAATATGTTTAGGTTGTGTCCAGATATTTCTTAATCTAATGCCGATACTTAGTTTTCGGTATGTATAGGTCGATACTTTTAATTTTAACCGATACCCCCCCCCACGTTTCGTCAAAATAAGTAATCTCATAAATTTAAAAAGGGAGATAATTTTTTTCTAATTGGGACATTCCATAATAAATCGATCAAAAAACATGGACCCCTTGGGATTTGAGTAAAATTTTTATACAAACTAAATAACATATAACTAAAACATGGTCTATATTTTTACATACTAGTTCTTATATTTTGGGTTATAAAAATCAGTTTTTAGGTTAATCTATGATTAGTGTTGTTAAAAAGCTCGATTAAGGTAATTAAATTTTCAAAAAAAAGGAAAATATATATCAAAGTTCACCATATACATTAAATTTTTATAACCCAGATTTTCCTATTGGGATAGCCGCCGAAGCTTCAAAGAATTTAGAAGCCGTGTTATTTCACATTGGTGATGGAAAAGAAAAACCTAATACTTTTGCGTCAAGAACATTACTCAAATCAGAAATATACTACAAAAATATTGAACGTAAGGCTATTACAATTATCTTCGCGACTAAAAGATTTCAAGAATATTTGATAGGAACAAAAATCACAAAGGAATAAAAATGCAAATCCATGAAATGAAATTTATCTATTCTATGGGAGCATATGATTTTGCGATGATTCACAGATTGGTGAAACGTAATATACTTAATTGTTTATCAAGATTACCACAGACAAATACAGAAGAAAGAATACAAAATTTAGAAATCAAAACTAATACTAATGAATTATGGGATATACCAATAACTTTTGAAATCATAGTGAGAGAAACTGCCACGATAAAGAAATGATGGAAATGATAGATAACATTATAAGAAACAAAACTTACAAAAATATGAAGACAGAATTAAACTTGATAAAAGTTATTCTTTTAAAGAAAATAAAATTATAATTCTATTAAAAATGAGAAAGACGGTGTTATAAGACTTACATAAGGGGCATTTAGGCGTTGGAAAAACTAAACTGTTGATCTGAAAATACACAAGGTGGCCAGGTATTAATATAAACATTGTTCAATAATTCGGAAATGTTACATGTAACAAGTGGGCAGATAATTCATATAATGTACAAAATCCATGAGTAGCTTCAACAAGACCTTTTGAAAGAATTCATATATATTATGCATATTTACAAACGGCTGATATTAGTAGATTTTTATAGCATTCCTGTTATTAAACATGATAAAACGATAACTTTGAAAAGAACAATTGAAGAGTTAATGAAGCCCATAGGCTTATATGGCGTACCAGGATAATAGTAACTGACAATAAAACAAATTTTACTAGCAATTTGAGAAATTTTGCAAATGTAATGGTATAAAACATGAGAATGGTAAGAACTTTAAAAATGAATACGAAAAGAAATATGGAAAATAATAACTTAGATTTTAATTTAGCTGTAGAATTTTTATTATTCAACTATCGTAACATACTAAATGCTACCAGGTATTGCTCCAAGTAAATTGACGGTTTCGAAAAGAAATAAAACAAAATGGGATTTAATTAAACCATTGGAGAACAAAGATAATAAATTAAAACCAAAAATATCACTAAATATAAAAATCGAAGGTGATAAAATATGATATAAAACTTTCAAAGAAAACATGTGTGACAAAGGTATTATTATAAAAAAAGAGCAATTTATTATATCAAATAAATACTAGAAATAACGTAATAAGAAGACATCTCGGCCTAGAATAATAAACAAATTGTGACAAGCTGAAACTAACATGAAGACATTTGGCAATCAAGTTTACAAACCGACTACAAATTTTTTTCCGAAGGAAGAGATGATCAAATAAATCATAATTCAAACCCAAGAACGTTAAGACCTATTAGAAATAAATTGTTACCCAAACATTTTAGAAATTTTATAATAAATATAAATGATTTACTAAATAATCGTAAAAACTTAGAAAATCAAGAGATAAATTATATAAAACGCAATAATTAACGAAAATATAAAACGAATATCACTGTATATTATGTATTATATCGTACAATTTTTAATTTAAAAAAATGATGAGAACGAAGACAACGATATAAATTGCAGACTAGACCAAGAAGATCATGATCGACGATGACATATGAGATTGACGATGAAAACAAACGAAAAAACAAATAAATTTGCAAATAACGTAATCGATTTCGAGAAAATGAAATTTTGAAATTATTCTAAAAATATATTTATATATTTAATATGGTATTTAATGCATAAAATAAATGAATTATTAATCAATATTTCTTCTAAAATATTATTTTGGCGTAACTATTTAACAATTTTATTTAATTTTTTAAGTTCTCTTACCAATTTCCTATTTTTCATTTTTTATTAATCATAGTAGTTTATATAGGGGAAATGTGCCATAAATGGCCATGTTTGAAGACTGGCAACCAATGATATGTACCTTACCTAAATTCTTTTATCTTTTATTGAATAGAACAATCCAATAAAATTTAGTATCTCTTTCAGGAAAAATCACGTTACACATTTTTTTGTTTGGTGAAAAAATTACTAATTTAGATTACTGATATTTTATATAAATATTATCCCAAGGCATTTAGCATTATTCACACAAAAAATTAGACTTTAAAAGTTTTATTTAATTGACATATAAAGGCGCTTAATAAAAATAGACAGGTGAGTATTGTCTGGCCATGCATTGACTGGCCAAAATTCATACATTCATTTGAAATGAAAAGCTTGCGCAAAACAATATTTGGTGCAAAATCAAGTGATGATAATTAAACTGGCAATTGATGATATAATCATGAATAAAAGACTAGCAATCAATAGGTACTAAATTTAATATTCCTAGAACAACCTTAAGAGCAATGAATAAATACAAAGAGACTTTGCAATATCCTCATATGGGATGGAGTTCAAGTAGTTTAATATTCAAAAGCTCAAGAGGACATTTTAAAAGATTATATAGTTCAAGTTAGCAAATCACTCATGGGTTTTGGCATAAGACAGGTAAAATTTATATTTTGAAGAATTTAATTATATATTAAATATTAGAAAAAAATATTATGAATTAGCACAAAAATATTAAAGTTTCCTAAAAGTTGAACTTGTGATGGAATGGCTGGCATGGATTGGTTCAAAGGGTATGACCATAGAAATCCTACATTATCCCTAAGAACTCCTGAAGCAACAAGTTTGGCTAGAGCTCGAGGCTTCAATCCTAAGTGTCAATTTTTTTTTGATAATTTAAAATCTCTAATGGATGAATAAATTTAAACCGCAGGACATATGGAACATGGATGAGACTAGAGTAACCACTGTCCAAGATCCTGGTAAAGTTATTGCAGATTTTAACCTCAGATAAAGCTATATATGCAATTGGGAATAGCATTCCTTCTATGTTACTATTTCCAAGAATCCGATATAAAGATAGGTTTATCAGAAATGTAGGTTTTTATAATAATGCTCACCCTACCAAAACACTGTTCCCACAAGCACAACTACTAGATAAATCAGTCTTTGGGCCATTTAAATTTTTTTATAATAACAGCATTGACAATTGGATGAGAAACAATGTAGGCAAATAATTTACCATATAAGACATACCATCAATTATAAAAATGGAGCGTCCTAAAACTTCAACCCCAAAAAATATTCAGAATAGATTTATAGCCTGTGGGGTATATCCCTACAACCCTGATATATTCTCTGAAGATATTTATTTAATATATACCTACAAAAATACGAATCGAATCGAATAATTCATTATTCGTATTCATTATTCGATTCGATTCTTAGAATATTTGATTCAATTCGAAAATTTTATTTAACCATAAATTAAAAAAGATAGAATTTTAAATTTATTTTGTAAAACGATGGATAAAAGACAAATAAATTTTATTAGTAAGATAATATAGAAGCATATATATATATATATATTATTTTTATATATAATGTAGTAAAATTAATATAATATTCATATCATGTAGAAGACAAATATACCAACAACAAAGTTTTTGCAAAAAATAAAATTCATGATTTCTCCATCATCAAACGACGGAGAAATATCTGGTTCGTCCGTCATTCTTGACGGGATGACTACTAGTTTATTATAATGGTATATGTGTTATAAATTGCATATATAAAAATAAATACTTTCTTCGTCCATCATAAAACAATTTTCTGATTAATTTTGTATTATGAAGTTATTCGAATAAAAACAGCCGAGAAATATAGAATGTTTCTTCATTATTCCACTAGGAAATTTTATTAAATAGGAATAATTGCAAATAATTCCTACTAATAATATATGAT